TTATATTATTAATTATTTTAATATGAATACCAATTTTTATTTGAATTGTCACATTTCAATATTAAAATTATTAAAAATTTTATTAATAATAATAATTGCAATAATATTAAACAATTTTCCCCATATATAGATTTACATAAATACAATATATAACAAATTATTATATTTTTTAAATTAAAATATAAGTTATAAAGGTATCGATATATTATTTTTTATTGTGTTATACTAAAATAAATGAAATAAATCGACTTTTTTAATTTTAGCATTTTTCATATTCAAGGAAAATGCAATAAATTTCGATTGAACATTTCTGTGAAAGACGCTCGCAATAGTTTTCATTGATTTACTACGGCACAGTTTTCTGATAGACTTCTAGCAATAGACCGAACTGAACAGAACAGAACAGAGCATAGAATGAGGACAACCGGATAATTAACTATTTCCACGCCTTCAAGCGTCCCAAACCTATTTGCACTTTAATCAATGGTCACTCCCAATTCGTAATTTTCTTTCGCTTCTCTTTCTCTGCAGCATTTTCTCACTCGATCCTCTTTGTCTCGCTCCATTTGAATATATATATTCAATATATGGGAGTTTGGGGGAGCTGGGGGGAGAGAGGAGTGGTAGGGAGAGGGTCAGTAGTTGACACTTTGCATCTTGTGCAATCACCAAATACTGTCAGAGAATGTCAACGTCGTTTTCCACGCAGTCGACGTCGCCGTCGTCGTCATCGCCGTCGTCAGCATCGGCATCAGCATCGGCATCGTCGTCTGCATTGTCGACGTCGTCAGCTTCAACTTTGTATCGAAGTTTGCACACAATCAGTAAAATATTTTGGCCATCCTTCGGGGACGACCTCATTTCGTCTTTGTCGTTGTCAGTAGGACGAGAACGAGGACGAAGACGAGGATGGGGACGAGGGCGAGTCGACGCTTCGTCGCCTGCTCAGGGCTCTTCAATGTTTTTCTTTAGCCATGCACATTTTTCCGTTTTTTAATCTTTTGCCTTTGCCTGCTCGTTGCTTTCTTAGCCTTTCCCTATCCCTTCCCCGTTGCTACTGCGTTGTCCTGGTCTAGCTGAGGGCAAACTTTTTGGCGTTTCATCTGCAGCACATCAATTTTTGTTGCTGACGAGCAAAAGTTGCAATAGTCTAAGTCCAGGCAATGCCAAAAATCCCCATCCCCATCCCCATCCCCATTCCTATATCCATTCCCATTCCCTCATCCTCACACTCACCCACACACACATACTCCTTGGCAATGGGAATGTTATTCTACCATTGGGTCGCTGGCTGTCCTTCCGGCTGTCTACTGATTGACGGCGACTGACAAGTTTCTCTTCGACTGCGCATTGACTTTTTCCTTGCAGTCGTTGCATTTTACGAGTATGTCCCAACTTTCAACTTGGCTCGGCTTCTGCCGAGAAGCATTTCACTAAATTTCTAATCCCTAAGTATATGGCGGCAGGCAGAGCTCAGGCAGAGCAGCAGCTGCCTGATGTGTCTGTGTATGTTTCGGTCTAGGTTTCGTTGCATAACATGCTGTCTACCAGACTCTCTCGCCCCACAGGAGGCAGCTGCCTGTTCTGCCTGTTATTTGCTGGTCATTTTGTCAGTCAGCTCGCAGCAGCACGAAGCCGAGACCAACACAGACGAGTTCTTATTACATCTTGGCGACAAGCGCCTTGTTGACCGTGTTCCCTTCTTTTGCTCCAAAGATTTTGCATGTCGCACTAACAAGTTACAAAAGCAAGTTTTCGTTTTTCCTATTGACTACGCCTGCAACTCTGATCACAGAAAAATAACTAGCCTTGTCTAGGAATTCGGAAAAACTATTTAAGTCTCTGCTAGTCTCGTAGACTCAATCGGTCCTCAGACAACGCTCTTCAACACTCTGAAGCACTGGAAACGTTTGCATCAATCAATATGTATACGCAATGAAACATACATAGCCGAATGCATCATGATAAAAGAGACCGAGAGAGAGAGAAAGAGAGAGAGGGAGAGATGGGTAAATGGAAACTATGCTGGAGCAGAGTTCAAACCTCAAGCTCATTGCTTAAACTTTTCAACCGACCAAAACTCAAACTACAACTCGAACGTGCAAGTGGACGTCCAGCATATAGCGCATCAGTCAAAAATTGTTCTTGCTTGTCATCGGAGACGTGCCACGTCCGCGCGCACCCAGCCAAGGGGCAGCACTGGCTGAAAGATGAGGAAACGTTGCGAAAAGCAAGGAAAGAAACTTTGATGCTGACCACAAGATAGGCAAATCATGCTACGATGCGAGAACACCCTTACTAAACATAGACAGTGCTGATAAAGATAAAAGAAATGGAAAACAATAAGAACGAGTTGATTATTCCATACATCATGATTGAATTAGACTATGATTGAAGCAGTTTGAAAGATCAGCAGATGATGCTCGTGGTGATTAAACAATATATCAATATGAATCAGCTCTTGATCACATTTTTCAAGAATAGATCATCTGCTAGGAAGTTAGACAAAACTTCATGATTGATTCACTTAGGACACTGAGTATACAACGCATGTCCCCTTCAAACAGCACAAGAGCAATACAAAATGATTAGAGTTCCAACTCAGATAAGAGTATACCGCAAAGAGCAAATACATATACATATACATATACATATGTACATATAACCTGCACATAGGAAGTCCGTATGTGTTGCTTCTGGTTCGCTTCGTAGTGGACGCCGCATTGATGAGGGCCACGTCAATAAAATTGCCTGGGTGCGGGTTGATGGGGCATTTTGGCGAGATGGAAGCTCGACATGAAACAAAATGTCTAGCTAAGAAGTATAAAAGAAATGCGCCACGTCAGACTAATCCTTGCGCCATCATATTACAGCATCGTCGGGACGACTGTTCGACTGCTCCGGCAGAGCCAGAGAAACTTGTGAATATTGTGCAGAAGGAGTCCGCCTGCTCGTTTCAACTGCGCCCTGCCCGCTCTGGCCCTCCCCCGGCGCCCAGTGTGTCATGGAAGCCATCAATCGTTTTGTTGAAATGTGCAATAAAGGAAAAGTCATGAAAACTTTCTGCGCTGCTCGCAGATTTCTCCGAGCAGGGGTCGAGCTGGGTTGAATTGGGCTGGGTCAGGTTAAGCTGGGGTCTGGGTTGGGGCTTGCTGTTAGTTGCCTAATGCCAGCGACAACATGGCACGGCTACGACTTCGCATCCGCATCCGCATCCGCATCCGCTCGCCTGTCCATCTGTATGTCTGCCCGTCATTTTCCTGCATTTGACAGCGTCTTGGCGACATTTGACGATTGACGAGGACGTCGAAGACGTTGACTCCCTGCCTCCCTCTCTCTCTCTCTCTCTCTCTCTCCTTGCCTAGCCTTGAAAGTGGTAGTGTGGCTGTAATGGCCAAGACGTTACCCATGCCTCGGCGGCTGCCCAGCATCCTGATGATGATGCCGTGCCACCCAAAAATGTCTCGGGTCAAACTGTCGTTCGCACGTTGAATTGCGGTTCGCTTGGGAATGGGGCAGGCAAACTGGGCTTGTGTATTGGATTTGCGCCTGACTGGGACTTCAGCTGAGATGCTGGGACGCTGGCAGGGGCTGGCGTCTTAGTGTCAGCGTCCGAGTCCATGACTGCGCCATCAGAATCTAGTACTCCCTTTCCCTCTGTCTCTCTCTCTCTCTCTCTCTTGCTCCTGCTCTGGCAGCAACTGCAGGCGACAAGTGCACCGCTTGTCCCTTTTGCTCCCTTCGGGCCACGTCTTGGCTCCAGTCACTCGGGCTCGGCTCGCTCTATCAATCCGCACAGCACATTGAACGACAGCGTCAGGATTTTTGCAATTTGAGAAGTTGCTACGTGACATTTCAATAATTTTTGAAAAGTTTCTTCGTCCTGCACGCCGCTCGCTCACTCTCTCTCCCTCTTTCTCTCAAGCGAATCCTGCTTATTTTTGCTTCTGCACTTTTTTCATCCCATCTTATTTTTTTTAGTATTTTGCGCCATCGTCTTCTTTATTTTATATATTTTTATAGTGTATTTTCGAGCGGCGTCCTTGGACAAAAATCGAAGCGAGGCAGGCGGATGTGCATGTGGTTTTGGTGCCGGGTCTGTCGCATCGGGCATCGGGCGTAGGGAGTCGGGCGTTGCCGGAACTAGGAATTTTATATTCTGCAATTTTCGTGACAACGTCATTTTGTCCACGACATTCTGCCTGATGCGTCGTTGTCGTTGTCTTCCTCTTCTTCTTCTTCGTTGACGTCCAGCCTCTTCTCGGCACTCCTCTATCTTCATCTCACTATGTAAGAAATTTGTTGTGTGCATTAGGAACTTTGACGCTTGACTGGATAGCTGTCAGTGGGCTGGCTGACTGGCTGACTTGGCTGACTGGGCTGACTGGCCTGAGTTGGGTGTTGGTGGGCAAGGGTTGCTGGCTGATGGTTTCGCCTCCTTTTGACGTTTGAATTTTGATGCTCCGACAGTTTATTCGATTGTTTTTCTCGCTTTTACTCGGCAAAATTACGGAAGTGCAGCAGTTGCCACTCCTTCCCCTACTCCCACAGCACGCCCACTGCCTCATCTGTCGGTCTTTCCTGGGGCTTATGTAAGAACAGAAAATTGCTGGCACAAATGGCGCCCCAGCCGTGTCCTGTTGCTGGTTTCTGGTCCTTGGCTGCGCCATGCTGTCCGGCCATCTTCATTAGAATTTATTTTTATTGTTTTGCGCAACTTTCAACTTTTACAACTTTATCAATATATGAATATAGATGCGCATAGCCTGCTTCCGTAGATGCCTTTAATTATGGAAATGCTGCTGAACGATAAAACAGACGCCGATGACAAGGACTCGGACTAGGACTAGCCATGGCGACCATTTCGCTTACAGCTAGCTGAGCTCTGAATTCATGCAGCGCATTAGAAAGGACTGCAAATAATTTAGTTTATAATTATGTTAGTCTCATGCTGAATCGTGTTACACAGATCTTTAAGGTAATTGCGAAAGTCATTAAAGTTCAGAGAATGAGCTTATCGTTCAATATTAATATTTATAATACAAATGAAAGCGTTTGAAGTGTAGTATATGAATACAAGTCGAGGTCTCTGGCAGTTGATACTTGCGCTTGGCTTCTCACTTATATATACCCCTCTATTACTGTATGCCCTGCAGGCAGAGGCTGAGTCCGACATGTCTAAAAGAAAGAGAGAGAGAGAAGGTGAATCATGAGTGGCACTGGGAAGGCGTGTGACTTACCAAAGCCAGCCTGAGAGCTGATCTCACGGAGTGAAAGTACGAGTGAAGTACTACGAAGTATTTGACTCGTGATAGAAGCATCACATATATAAGAAAATGTACGAATAACAATGTCTTCATAATATCGGCATACATATTCCATTCGTTCCCAAGGAAGTTGCTGCTGTACGTAAACATTGTTGCGACGCTGTATACATATGTATGTATACTTGTTACTGTCTGACATTTATGTTTGCATACATACATATATAAATATATGACTATGTATAAGTAATTAAGCGATATATATAAATATCGAAATTATCCAGCTGCTTACATGTATGTTACTATATAAAATATATTCCAACGTCCACATATTACTCTTATTTAAAAGCTTTACACTTATCACTGCATTCGCTATTAACATTACATTAATTGATTAAAAAACAATCGAAAGTTCACAATTTCGATCACATTGCTAATAAGAAATGTTAAAGAGTAACAGTGGAGTAACAGTATTCTATCGATACAATGCCCACGTTTTGCAGCTCGTGGCAATACTAGCGTTTTGCAACACTGTACATGACGAGGCAAGACCAAAGCACATGTCAAGCGAAAAATCATTTCATCAAGCGACAGTCGACGTTTCACCTCGCCTCACTTCATCGAAATTTGATTTGATTTTAAAGCATTTGAAATCATGTTTATGCGAAAAGTGGATCGAGATGCCATCTACACGGTGCTCTTCCGCTCGGGAGTTATGTTTGCCGAGCGCGCGCCGCAGAAGATGCACCCGGAGGAGGAGCTGAAGCACCTGAGTAATCTGCGGGTGATCAAGGCGCTGCAGTCACTGAAGTCGCGCGGCTACGTCTCGGAGCAGTCGGCCTGGCGCCACTACTACTGGTGCCTGAACAACGAGGGCATCGAGTACCTCAGGGGCTACCTGCACATGCCCACCGAGGTGGTGCCCACCACTCTGCAGCGCCGCAACGAGCCCGTGCGCATGTCGCGCACCTCCGAGGATCCTCGCTCCCGCGGAGCACGCGAGGGCAAGGAGCGCGATCGCGACGATCGCACCATCTACCGTCGCTCCGAGCGTCCCATGGACTCGGACAAAGCCGGCAATGTGGGCGCTGGCAATGCTTCTGTGGAGTTTCGCGGTGGCTTTGGGCGTGGCCGCAGGTAAATTCCAATAACCTTGAACTGTGAAAACAAATAAAATACAAAGCAGTTAAAACACACTTGTGTCAGTTTACTAGCGCAGCTCCAAACACACAAAGCGCCGCTCGTGCGGCTGGCCGTTGAAACATTTGTAACTACAAGAGAGAGAAGGAAAAGATTTGCATTTGAATTGAGCACAAGTGCTGGGGGCGATGGCGGGTTACGGCTTTGGGGGCATAGATCAGCGCCACACGCTGGCAACAAGTGCTCCAGGTGGTGTCTCGAGTGCGGAGTCGTGGGCGCTGTGCTGGGTCTTTTGCATATCGCGACATGGTCGTGTCTTTGTCGCTGTCTTCGCTGCGAGGCGACAAATAGACTTGTTTGCCCAATTCCCAGCTGCTAATGATGCATTTTCGATGACGTTTCGTGCGCATGCAAATGGTCTGGAGCCGCCAAGCGCGACATACAACACACAGCATTGAGCCAGAGAGTGAAGAGTGTGGCGAGTGGGAGTGAGTGGAGGGGGTGGACGCGGCATAATCACAGCCATCAGTAACGTGGCGTGCGACATTTATGACACGCTCAGCTCTGAGCCCTGAGCCAGGCAACGCGACAGCGTAACATAATATGGCTCATCATCTCCAGCATCGCTGTTAACCTCATCAGTTTCAGCCTCCGCGCTGAGATTGTCACCATCAGTTGCAGTGCATGCAGCCTTCCTGTCCTTGTCGCAGCATCACAGCCCCTCCCCGCCCCGCGCCCGCTCGTAATCATGCTCATCAACCTCGTCCTCGACATTGGCTGCACACAGCCAACGACATCAGCAGCAGCATCAGCATCAGCCTCATCATCTGAGGCATCAGCTTCAGTCTCAGTCTCAGCAGCCTCAGCCTCAGCACAACATATCACATCATCACACTGGGAATGCATTTTGCATCGCCTCATGTCACATCTTCTCATTCGGCTGCATTCCGCCGCCGCGTGTCGCTGGCAGCCGACGTTGACTGCGGTCCCCAGGAGTTATTTGCATGCAGCTCAAGGATTTCGTGTGGACCAATTTACAAACAAATGCGCATAAATGTTTGCATTCTCTTAATTCTTCTAATCCCCAAAGATGTTTTACAAGCAGCTGAGATGAATCGAAGGTGTAACTGATGGACATTGGGTTTTGCTTGATTTTAATTGAGGGCTACATATAGTTGATAAAGGTAATTTTTAGATATATTTATTATACATTTTATTTTAAATTTTATTTTCATAAGATACATATTTAATTGGACTATCCGAAATGGTTTATGTTTGTTTCCAAGTCTACAAGTATTCTTTAAAAATGAGCCACACAAACGACATTGCTCAAAACATTTTTGGTAAACCCATGCAGCTTCTCATGCCACTCATAACGGCTTTCAGCAGGAGAGTTTGCACCTGCTTGAGGAACTCAGTTAAAGATAAGTTAGATCTCATTTAAAGTTTCTTTCTCGTGCAGTTCTTTTCCATTTAATAAAACACTTTGCATAGTTTAACAAGAGATAGACAAAGATACAAAAATAAACGCCCAAATGAGCTCGACTGCCACCCCCTCCAGCTGCCGCCCCCCTTGGAGAGTGTCGCTCGCTGGCTTTGGCGTTTGCCCAGTTCTTTGTGAAATTTCGCAGCCCAATTTGTCAGGCGTTGACAAAGACGCTTTGTTGGCTTTTTGGATGCGAATCGCTCGCTGGCTGTTGGCTGCTAGCTGCTGGAAAATTGCGCCTAGTGGCTGCTGGCAAGTGGAAAACATTTCCGGATGAGCAAGCCATCAGTCAGTGCGCCGAGAGCTGTTGACACCACTTTGGGGGCCAGCGTCATGAGAAGATGCAAAAGTTTCAAAGTGATTTTCAGCTGCTGCAACGTTTAGTCTTCATCTCGTCGCTGTTGTTGTTGTTGTTGCTTGTGTTGTTGGTGTTGGCGTTGGGGCGCAACAAGTGCGCAGTAAATCATGGCATGCAACATGGGAGTAGGAGGCAGGCAGGAGGCAGTAGTCGGATGGGAAGCGACAGGAACGACGTTGGGGCATTGCAATTCAGCGCGTGATTGAAAACTGATGGCGTGTTGGCGGCGCATTCGAAATGCATTGGCATTAAATAAACAGAAATTGCGCATTTCTCACGCGGAAATGTATCGCACTTGACGACAGACTGACTGACAGAGGCAGACAGAGACAGATAGAGAGGAGAGAGAGAGAGAGAGGGAGAGTCGGATAGACTCAATGCAGCACATACAGCTGCAGTGCAGTTGCAACTGCAGCGCCTGTCGCCGCACATCTTCACAGCTCTCGTCGCACAGTTGGAGCCATTCCGTTGCCATAGCTAGCGGCACCCACTTAATTTGCCAGCTCGTTGCAGCGCCCGGATGCAGATGCCGATGCCGATGCTGATGCAGATGCAGCTTGGCTGACTGGCTGACTGGGCTGACAAAGTCGGCATCCATTCACGTCACTCGCGCCTGACAAAATGTATCTGCTTGCAATTAAATGTCACCCATTGTGCATAACGGCACTCGGTGTCAGCCCGGCTAAATTCCAGCACATTGCTCAAAACATTATCGAGGATATGTGACGGGAAATGTCAGCGACATTTGTCAATGCCATAATCATAATGTTGCCAAGATTAAATGGCAAAAATTATTTAGAGATGAACTGAAAAACGATATTAATTTGAACTAGGGAACCAAGAGATGTCCCACTAAGAGAGAAAATTCAGGAAGAAACCGATTTTTCGTAAGAGATCCCAATACCTTCGGCTCCTGCAATACGAACTACATAAGCTAAGAGGCACATTCAAGTTTTACAAAAAGAAAACACTTTAGGCTTATCTTAAGATATTCACATGTGTGGGGAGGAGACATACTTCATATGGTTCCGCCTGCTAATTGGCTCAGCTCAGAACGAGAGAGAGAGAGAGAGGGACAGAGCGATATGAAGGTGAGGGAAATTGACTATCTCACGACTGCCATTGAGCTGAGCTGCTTGCGTATTGCAATTCAAACAATTACCATAAATGACGATAAATGGCCAGAGTTTAATCAGAGTTGAGCCGAGATGCAGCAGCAGCAGCAGCAGGAGCAGCAGCCAATGGACAACTGTGCTGGAGCGCAGGCGCAACCTCCTGGGCTACTTTACGATGGCAGTTGGCGGATTTAGCCGCATGTCAAACGTCAACCTACTCCGGGTACGCCTCGCAGTGCCCGCCAAGACTTTGACTTTCCCAAGCGCAGCCAGAGGCAACGGCACCCATTTGCCATGAAATATAACCTCAATCAACATTCGCTCATTACCAAGCAGCAACAGCTATAGCAACAGCAACAGCAACAGCAACCAGCGGCGGTGGCGGCGTCGGTGTCGGTGTCGGAGGAGTCTGGATGACATTTTATTTATGAATACCAAATTGTAAATTATTAACATGTTTCACGCAAGTTATGGCCGGGCCGAGTGCGAGCTCTGACAGCGAATGTCCATGTCCACGTTCACGTCCAAGTCCAACTGCAGCGGGTCGCCAGAAAGAGAGAGAGAGAGATATATACAGAGGAGAAATAGGGAGAGAGAGAGAGAGATGGAATGAAACGAGTGGCACGATGGATCGCTGACTGGTCGGTTGGCAAGTCCATTGGACAATCTCCATCTGGTCTCTGTGCCCGGCTGCCAGTTGCCTTCTGCCTCCTGCCTTTTGCCTGCTGCCTGCATTTGCTCAATGCAACATTTTCGCGTGGCAAATGAAAAGTTAATGGCTCGCTTGGACATACAAATGAGGTTATTAGCGCTTGATTATGGCGTCCATTTAGAAATGCCATGCCACGGCCATATTGTACGGCACCCAGGAAGCGACATCAATCGACCGAGCGAGCGAGCGAGCCACCAAAATATAAAAAATGCAAATGACACCGAAAAGGCGGAGCAGCATTAAATGTAAGTTTGTTAGGGCCACAAGCTGTTGACTGCGGCCAGCAAATGGAATTAAGCGAGTAATAGAGTTACATATATATAATCCGAATTATGTATATAAACTTATAATAAAATGCTTCTTATTCATGGCACTGGGTTATTTATGAATATATTTCAATTCACTGTAATAAAATTTAATCAATATAATTTAATTTGTTGCTAAGTGCTTACCAATTACTTTAGTTCCTGTTTAAGCTGCCGCTTCAACATTAAACTTCTCTCTAAACATTTTCACTAAAATAGTGCATAATAGTTTATACTAAATTTAGATGTATTAGGCATAGTGATTTATGCCAAGCTGTTGATCGATTCGAAGAGTGCCTCGTTTATTTATTATTATTACACTTTT